CCATCTCGGACTTCTTCGCCGGGTGGTTCTGCGGTGTCTTGGCCTCCTCGCGGGGAACGATGTCGATGAGAAAGTCGAACTGGTCGTACTTTGAGATGCCCATGGCAATGTCATTTCGCTGCAGTGTCCGCCGCTTGTTGTCCTCGGTGTTGACCCACGCCCGCAGCGACAGCTCGGCAATGAATATCTCCACTGCTTTGGCAAACAACACGGGCGCTTCGCCTGAGATCATCTGCACAAAAAGTAACAAAATTGAGTTCAGTTCCAGAAGTTTCCGCCCAGCGCTGACTGATTATTACCTTCACATCCTCATCTAGTTTCATAATTTTCTTTATCCGAGCAAGAGGTAGTTCAGGATTTCGAAAGTCATTCTGTTGCAAGAGTAAAAGAAGAGATGACAGCCAAGCGCAATCAATGTCAAAACAAAGCACTACTTACATTGTTCATATTCTGAACTGAATGAATCTCCTTCGGCCAAAACTCCTCCACCATCTTCTGCGCCTCCGTGGTCGCTGCCGAGCTGCCAAGCTGAAACGGCTGGCCCGGTGTGTTGTTGATGTTCATGTTGTGCTCACTCACTCACTCACTCACTTTCCCTTGATTGAACCGGGTAAATGGCGGGTAAAACCTGGAGCACTTGGCAGCAGCGTAACGCTGCGGGCAGAACTGTTAGGTCGGGCACTGAAGAAAAACAACTCATAAACTTATTGATCCCACTCGCAAAGTAGGTGCAGTCAGCTGTGAGGTGACATGAAAACATTGTGCTCCTAATCGGTTTCATCAATCAACTTCAGACGAACTTCAAGGAGGTGATTACCCATCCAATGGAGGTGGCCAAGACACCCGACCCGGATGACCGCTTCCTGCTTGAACTCAGCTCCAAGCGCATCGACTTTCAGCCGGTTTCCAAAGATGTCAGCGTCTTCTACGACGAGTCCAACAAACAGGTGTTTATTATTTTTGTACTGCAATGATGACTTTTTTTTTCTAAAAGTTGCCCCTCATTTACCAGGTTTTTATCGTTATCAACCGTGGCGCCGAGGGCATTATCGTGAAGGGGTCAGACGATTTGACGTTGAAGTTCAGCCTTCAGGATCGAGGGAACATTCTCTCAATCAAGTTCTCGCCTACATTTGAGATTCTCTCCCTTCAACGATCGCAGAGCCACATTGAGTTTGTCATCTTCAAAAACGGCCAACCAATTGAGATCTTCACGCACACTTTGAAGAACAAAAACTCTCGAATACTGGGATTCCTTTGGACGAACATCAACGAGATTGTTCTCGTCCTTGACAGTGGCATCGAGTTCTACCAAGTGCTCACAGACAAGAAGATTTTAAAGAGCCTGAAGTCATTTAGCCTGACAGTTGATTGGTTCGTCTACCAGCACGTCTCCTGTATTCTTCTAGTCGCCAATGGCACCTTTGGAAATGTGATACACCCCTTCCTGTTTAGGGTGAGTGATAAAACTCGTTAGCATCATTGCTTTATTTCATTATTATTGCTTTCAGCCTTCAAATGCCTACAAGCTAAACAAGTTCGAGATTGACTGGACCAGTCAGGCGAAGACGGCCAACCTGTCGCTGCACGAGCGGGACGTCACGGTGACCAATCTGTACGGCAAGCCTCGCCTGCTCATCCTTCGACACCAGCCGATTCTAAAAGAACAGTCCGGCGCTCACATACTGATCTACACCTGGCACAAGCGAGACTCCATTCCGCAGAAGACGGACATTCTCATGACCAACTTGTCGGGCCGGTTCGCCATCAACATAGTGGATGATCTCATTGTGGTTCACCATCAGACGTCAAAAAGCTCGCTCATATTCGACATCAACCTCTCTCAAAGTGAGGTGTACGGCGGTGCAAAGTGTCACCTGCCGATCGTCAGCAAGTGCGTCATCAAGCCCTACAAGATCAACAACCTCATTGACTACGAGCTCTGTGAGTGCTACGATCTTTTTCAGCAGTTTTTCGGATTAATTCATAATCCCACTTTCAGACTCTTCCAACTGGGCCATCTTCCAGCCGAACATCATCATCGACGCCAAGTACGGCTGCCTGTGGTTCCTGCAGGTCAATCTGCAGTTCATCTTTGAGCTGATCAAGAACGTGCCCATTCTGATTGACTTTCTGCTGCTGCGGAAGAACTCCAAGGCGATCATCCTCAAGGTGTGCCGCAATGTGGTGGCGATGAGCAGGCGCCATGGCCAGAATCCAATTGGCAATCTGGCGCTCATCTTCAACAAGCTGAACCTCGCCTACAAGGAGTCGCTGGTGGAGGCGGCCAAGGTGGACACCGCCGTCGGCCCGCTGAACGGCGGCGACGTTTTCGACTACCTGAAGCACAAGATTGCCGTCACCATCGACCAGCGGGACATGCTGACGCACTTCTTTGAGTACTTCGACAATGAGGGGGAGGGGGAGGGGGAGGAGGAGGAGGAGGGCAGCATCGACCCGAAGCTGGGCATCGCCATCGTCTTCGAGTACGTGCACTCGCTGTCGGCGCAGCGCATCACCGTGCAGTACTTCATCTACGAGTTTCTGCTCAACCACCTGATCCAGGCGGGCAGCTTCTACCAGATGCACCAGTTTCTGCAGTACCACGTCTTCAGCGACTCGAAGCACCTCGCCTGTCTGCTGCTGTCGCTGCTGCAGCACGGCCAGTACCCGTACGCGCTGCAGCTCGGCCTGGACATGCTGAAGCGCCTGCAGACGGCCGACGAGGAGATCGTCGAGGTGCTGCTCTCGCAGAGCCAGGTGGTGCGGGCGCTGCAGTACATCGAACGGCACCTCGACATCAACAGCATCTCGGCACGGAAGTTCCTCGAGGCGGCGCACGCCACCCAGGACGTGCGCACCTTCCACCAGGTGTACAAGCAGCTGCAGCTGCGCAACCTGAAGCTGCGCGGCTCGTACGAGTTTGCCAAAGGTACGGTAGTTTACTGGGTGTGATGCACTTTATTTTAAAAACACATTCTTATTCTCATATACTCTCTCTATTGAAAATAGGTGAAAATTGCGAGTTCTACGAGCGCCACTTTGAAGATCTCTTTGGCACCAAGATGTCCTTTATCAGCACGTGATGGGGAGGGGCAGGCAGGCAGGGAGGCTAGTACTTGCCGAGGCCCACGCCCCGACCGAGGACCATGGTGAGGAGGGCCATGCGCACGTACATGCCGCACTCCACCTGGCGGAAGTAGGCGGCGCGCGGATCGTTGTCAAAGTCTCGCCTGAGTGGAGGGAGGAGGAAAACACATGGGGTTAGAAAAGAAAATAAAGCCAACCCTTCCCCCCACCCTCATCAACTTACGAGATTTCACTGAGCCGCGGCAGCGGGTGCATCACAATCATCTTCTTCTTCGCCTTCGTCATCAGCTGCGTGGTGATCTGGTAGAGGCCGCAGACGGCCTGGTAGTCGGCCGGGTCGGCGAAGCGCTCCCGCTGGATGCGCGTCATGTAGACGACGTCCGACTGGGGCAGGACCTCCTCCAGGCTGCGGTGCTCCGCCTGGCGGACGCCCTTCGCCGCCACGTACTGCCTCACCTCGGCGGGCATGCGAAGCGTCTCCGGGGAGACGTAATTGAGCGTCACATTGTAGTGCGTCAGGAGGCGGGCCAGGGAGTGGACTGTGCGGCCGTTGGCGAGGTCGCCGCACATGGTCACCTGAGAAGAAGAAGAAAAGAAGGAGTTTAAGAAGCTTTTCAAGAGGGAAACTGAGTGATCATCGCCACCACCACCTACCACCAAATTGTTGACCGTGCCAATCTCCTCGCGGATGGTGAAGACGTCCAGAAGGGCCTGCGTCGGATGCTCCCCAATGCCGTCGCCGGCGTTGATGACCGGCTTCAGGCAGACGGCGGCCGCCCGGCGGACCGCGTCCACCACCGGGTGGCGGAGGACGACCACGTCGGCGTAGGTGGCCATCACCGCCACCGAGTCCTCCAGCGACTCGCCCTTGCGCACCGAGCTGGTCTCCTCGTTCATCGAGATGACACCGCCGCCCAGGCGCTGCATGGCCGCCGCGAAGGAGCAGCTAGTGCGGGTGCTCGCCTCGTAGAAGACCGAGGCCATCAGCTTGCCGCGGAGGATGTGGTCGAGGGGAATGGGCGGGCCGCCGCCGCCGTCAGCTCGGTCCAGGGGCTTCTCCTTGGCCACGGCGACGCGGAACTTGGAGGCAAGGCCAAAGAGCTCGTGCAGCTGGTTCTTGGTGAAGTCCTCCACGCTGAGGACGCTCTTGTGGGCGAAGGAGTGCTGCCCTAGTGAGGACTGCTGGTGCAGCTGGTGAAGCATTAAGGGCGTGCCGCCTGGAGTAAAGTGGAGGTGAGCAGGCACTGGGGAGTGGTTGCCGGCGCCGGACAGCTGTCGTGCCGAACTGCTGCTGCTGCTGCTGCTGTCATGTTTAATGCCCAACTCCTTGAACATCTCCTGGTACATCTCATTCGTGCGCTCCTGACGGCTCTTCGTGCTCAGCGGACCAGGAGGACCGGAAGCAGGAGAAGGAGGAGGAGGAGGTTGAGTGGGCTGAGCAGCGGTGGTGCTGGGAACCACCACCACCGCCTCTTCTCCACTGCCAACGTCCAACATCAGTGGGCTGCTCGTAGAGGTCGTTGTAGCATTGGCCGTCGAGTAGAGCTGATTGCCAGCGCTGCTGCTGCTGCTGCTGCTGGCCCTCGTCTGGAGAATGTTCTGCCCGAAACCGGGCTTCACCAGGACCTTGCCGTCAATGAAGGCCACCTCGCCGTGGAGGAGCACCCGGCGGACGCGGCCGGCCACCGCCCGCCCGGCAAAGGGCGTCCACTGGCTCTTGGTGAAGGGCATCGCCGCGGGGATGGTCCACTCCTCATCGAGGTCCACCTCGACGTACGTCTCCAGCTGGTCGGGCAGGCTGAAGATGCGCTTCGGATTGTAGTACAGCCGGCGAATCAGGTCGTCCAGCGTCAGGCGGCCCTGGCGGACGGCCGTCAGCAGCAGCGGCAGCATCGTCTCCAGGCCGGGGAAGCCCGGCGGCGCCTCCCCCTCCGGTCGATCCTTCTCCGCCACCAGGTGCGGCGCGTGGTCGGTGGCGAAGACGTCAATGACGGCCATGTTCTCCCACAGTGCCTGCTGGTCGCGGGCGCTGACCAGCGAGGGCCGCACCTGGGCCCGAGACCGCCCGCCCACCGCCTCGACGTCGTCCTCGCAGAGAAAGAGGTGGTGCGGGGCCACCTCGCAGGTCACCTTGATGCCCTTCTCCTTCGCCCGTTTAATGACCAGAATCTCCTCCTCGCGGGCCACGTGGGCAATGTGCACGTGGCGGTCGTAGAGGTGGGCGAAGAGGATGACCGCCGCCGCCGTCTGCTGCTCGGCGTGGGCGACGATGGGCACGCCCTTGGGCAGGCGTTCAAAGTGCGCCATCCAGTCGAGCATCGAGGGAAGGCGCAGCTGGCCAAAGGTACTGTTCAGGTACATCTTCACGCCCATCACCCGCGTGGCGCGGGTCAGCCCGCCCAGCTCCTCGGCATTGCCCGCAGTGGCCGCCACAAAGAGGCCGTAGTCGGCGCGGGCCTTGGCGCCGGCCAGCGCCAGCGTCGCCGCCAGCGTCTCCCCGCCGGCCACCGGCGGACCGGTGTTGGGCATGACGCCCAGCAGGGTGATGCCGCCGGCCAGCGCCGCCGCCGTGCCCGAGCTGAAGTCCTCCTTCTCGGGGGCGCCCGGCTCCCGCAGGTGCACGTGCACGTCAATCAGCCCCGGCAGGCGGACGATCTTCCGCGCCGTCAGACAGTCGATGTGCGTCTTCACGGGCGGATTCCCCTCGATCAGCTTCAGCGCCTCCACCAGCAGCTTGGCGCACTTGACGTCGCTGATGAGCGGAATGGCGTAGTCGACGGCAAAGCGGCGGTACCGGTAGCCGAGAGTGCTCACCCGGCGGGCGCCGCTAGTCCTCATCGGCAGGTTGATCACCAGGTCGATCTCCTTCTGCGAGAGGTAGTGGGCAATGTCGTTGAGGTTCACCTGGTCGGGGGCACCGCCTCCTCCTCCCTTTTCCCCGTTTCCCCCATTTTCAAAGAAGGGCAGTTCGACCGCTTCCACGGGAATGCCGCTGTCATTGTAGAAATCGGCCGTGCCCAGGGTGGCGTACAGCTTGTAGCCCATGTAGTGGAGGGTGCGAATGCTGGGCAGCAGCTCGGTCTTGTGCTTGTGCGTGCCGATGCTGATCAGGGCAATGCGCCGCTGGGGAATGCGGAAGCCGGTGCTGATCAGCGCCTTCAGGTAGGCCTCGTAGCGGTTCTCGCCGAAGCAGCCCACCTCGCCGGTGCTCGCCATCTCAATGCCCAGCGTCACGTCGGCGCCGCTCAGCCGGCTGAAGCTAAATTGAGGGACCTTGACGCCCACTCGGCGAGCCAGCTGAAAGCTGAACTTCCGCTTCCCGTCAGCTGCAAAGTTGGTGATGTTTCGATCTTGCTGGGCTCCGTTTCCGGCCAGCAGGTCAATGGGCCGCTGCTTGATGCCCATGATGACGCGCGTGGCCAGGGCGACCAGGTCGCAGTTCAGCGTCTTCGAGACGAAGGGAAAGGAGCGGCTGATCCGGAGGTTGCACTCAATCACCTTCAGGTCGTTGTCCTTGGCAATCAGCTGCAGGTTGTAGGGGCCGTTCACCTCCAGGGCGCGACCGATCTTCTCGCAGATGATGCGAATTTTGAGCAGCGTCTCCGCGTTCAGGTCCTGCGGCGGCGTGACCAGCGTCGCGTCGCCAGAGTGCACGCCCGCGTTCTCCACGTGCTCGCTGACGGCCATGGCGATGAGGGCGCCGTCCTGGGCGACGGCGTCAATGTCGATCTCCTTCGCCTCCTTGATGAACTTGCTGATCACCACGGGGTGCTCCTTGCTTACCGCGGCCGCCTCCTTCAGGTAGTTTTCTGGTGAAGAAAAGAAGGAGAAGATGAAAACATTGAGGAGGAAAAAGAGGTTCAAGAGGAAAATGCGCAACCAACTAAACCAAAACTGACCGAGATTGCGCTCCGAGTGGGCGACATTCATCGCCGCCCCCGACAGCACGTAGGAGGGCCGAATGACGCAGGGGTAGCCCACCTCGGCGCAGAAGCTCTTCGCCTGGTCAATCTCCGCCAGCTCCTTCCACTGCGGCTGGAGGATGCCCACCTCGTCCATCAGGCGGCTGAACTTGAAGCGGTTCTCCGCGCCGTCAATCGACTCCGGACTGGTGCCCAGAATGACCGCCTTCTGCCGGAAGAGGTCCATGGCGATGTTGTTCGGCAGCTGGCCGCCCATGCTGAGGATGATGCCCTCCGGCTGCTCCGCCTCGTACACCTCCATCACCGTCTCGAAGGAGATCTCCTCGAAGTAGAGCTTGCTGCACATGTCGTAGTCGGTGCTCACCGTCTCCGGGTTGCAGTTCAGCATGATGGTGCGCTTGTTCATCTGCCGAAGGAGGAAGAAGAGGAAAAGGTTTTAGTAAACCATCAAAAACTTTTCAGCCAGCCAGCCAGCCTCATCTCTCTCACCTTGGTCAGCTCCTGAACGCAGCCCACGGCGCAGCAGTCAAACTCCACCGAGGAGCCGATGCGGTAGACGCCGCTGCCCAGCACCAGAACAGCTCCCGGATCAACAGGTGGTGGTGATGATGATGTTCCGGTCTGCTCCGGCTCCGGCTCCGTTCCCAGATCCGACTCGGTGGCATTGTACGTCAGGTAGAGGTAATTGGTGCTGGCGGGCCACTCCGCCGAGACGGTGTCCACCCGCTTCACGGCCGGGCGGATACCCGCCTCCAAGCGCTGCTTGCGGATCACCAGCTCGCTGCTGACGTGGACGCACCGGGCGATGGCCTTGTCGCTGAAGCCGAGCGCCTTTGCCTTTCGCAGCTGTTCGCTTGTGAGCCTCGTCTGGCCGGCCAGCGCCTCCAGCGACTGTTGGCACTGGACAATGTTCGCCAGCTTGTGGAGGAACCACAGGTCAATCTTGGTCAGCTGGTGGAGCTCCGCCAGCGACCAGCCGTCCTTGAGGGCGGTGGCCAGGGCGAAGATCCGTTTGTCGGTGGGGTTTTGCAGCTCCTCGCGGGTCGCCTGGCGGAGGCCGGCGTCGAAGCCGGTGACCGATTCGTCCACCATGCGCAGCGCCTTCTGGAAGGCCTCCTCAAAGTTGCGGCCAATGGCCATCACCTCGCCGACGCTCTTCATCGAGCTGCCAATCAGGTGGCTGACGTTGGTGAATTTGCCTGAGCAAAGGGAAATGGAAAAGTTTTAGATGAAAAGAGGAGGAAACTAAGATCCTAGACTTACCCAAATCCCAGCGCGGAATCTTCACCACGCAGTAGTCGAGGCTGGGCTCAAAGCAGGCCGTCGTCGAGCCGGTGACGCTGTTCAGTAGCTGCGGCAGCGGAATGCCCAGACCGAGCTTGGCGGCAATGTAGGCGAGCGGATATCCAGTGGCCTTGCTGGCCAGCGCCGAGCTGCGCGACAGACGCGCATTCACCTCGATGATGTAAAACTCCTCCGAGGCAGGGTTCAGCGCGTACTGAATGTTGCACTCGCCCACCACGCCCAGGTGCTTCACCACCCTGAGCGCCATCGAGCGGAGGAGGTGGTACTCGCGGTCGGTCAGCGTCTGACTGGGCGCCACGACGATCGACTCGCCGGTGTGAATTCCCAGCGGATCCAGGTTCTCCATGTTGCACACGGTGACGCAGTTGTCGTAGGCGTCCCGCACCACCTCGTACTCCACCTCCTTCCAGCCCTTCAGGCTCTTGTCCATCAGCACCTGGCTGGAGTGGACCAGCGCCTGCTTCACCAGCCGCTCCAGGTCGGCGGCGTCGCCGGCGAAGCCGCTGCCCATGCCGCCCAGCGCATAGGCCGACCGAATCAGTATCGGGTAGCCCAGCCGACCGGCCTTCTCCAGCGCCTCCTCCACCGAGTAGACCGCCTCATTGGGCGCCACCTCGCCGCCCACCTGCGCCACCTTCTCCGCGAAGATCTTCCGGTCCTCAGAGTCGATGATCGACTTGATCGGCGTGCCCAGCACTTGGACCGAGTACGCCGCCAGAATGCCCGCCTGCTCCAGCTCGATGCCGCAGTTGAGAGCGGTCTGGCCGCCGAACATGAGGAAGATGCCGTCCGGTCGCTCGTTCTTGATCACCTCCTCGACGTACTCTCGGGTGATGGGCAGGAAGTAGACCTTGTCGGCCATGCCGGGATTGGTCTGCACCGTGGCGATGTTCGGGTTGATCAGCACCGTCTGAATCTTCTCCTCCTTCAGCGCCTTGATCGCCTGCGAGCCGGAGTAGTCAAACTCACCGGCCTGGCCAATGGACAGGCCCCCGGAGCCGAGGATGAGCACCTTTCGCGGGTACTGCAGCTGACCGGCGAGGTCCATGGGAAACTTGAGGGCGGTCGCAAAGTGGCGCTGAATTTTCTCCTGAATAGACAACTCCGGTTCTTTGTTTCCTCCTCCCCCCTTCAGGTACTCCTTAACCGAGTCGAGAAAGACGTCAAAGAGAAACTCCATGTCCTCAGGGCCGGCGGTGTGCTCCGGGTGAAACTGGACGCTGAAGAAGGGCTTCCGGCGGTGGGCGATGCCCTCGTTGGAGTGGTCGTTGGCGTTGGTGAAGAGCGCCTGCCAGTGGTCGGCGGGCAGGCTGCCCGCCTCCACCGCGTAGCCGTGGTTCTGCGAGGTGATGCAGCAGTTCAGCGTGTCGGCGAAGAGGACCGGCTGGTTGTGGCCGCGATTGCCGAACTTCATCTTGTAGGTGGTGCCGCCGGCGGCCTGCGCCAGCACCTGGTGGCCCAGGCAGATGCCGAAGAGGGGGCGGCGGTCGTCGGTGGCCAGGTGCCGGCGGACGGTCTCCACCACGGTGGCCCCCACCATCGCCGGGTCGCCGGGGCCGTTGCTGAGGAAGACGCCGTCGTACTGAAGCGTCGGGTCCTGGAGCGAGGCGTTCCAGGGGAGGACCTGGACGCGGGCGCCCCGGCGCGCCAGACAGCGAATCTGATTGTACTTGAGGCCGCAGTCGAGGGCGACGATGCGCGGCTGGCCGCTGGGGTTGAAGATTCGAGTCGTTTTTAGCGACACCTCGTCCACCAGGTTCAGCGTGTTCGGGTCGGCGTAGGGAAAGGCGTCGATGGCCAGCCGGGAGTGGGCGATCTTTGCCAGGGCGCTGCCGCGGTCGGCGAGGAGCTGCGTCAGGGCACGGGTGTCGATGCCCTGCAGACCTGTGACGCGGTGGCGGGCCAGGTAGGCGTCCAGCGACTGGGCGGCGTTCCAGTGACTGTACGCGGCGGAGAGCTCGCTGACCACCAGGGCGGCCGGCCAGACGCGGTCGGACTCGAAGTAGAGCGGCAGGCCGAACTCGTCCAGGGCTCGGTCCTTCTCGGCCCCGTCCTCGGGCACGCCGTAGTTGCCGATCATCGGGTAGGTGAGCACGAGAATCTGCCGGTGGTAGCTGGGGTCGGTCAGAGACTCCACGTAGCCGACCATGCCCGTCTGGAAGACTGAAGAAGAAGAAGAAGAAGAAGAAGAAAAAGGATGGGTTTTAATTATTAATACCCAAAACTGAAAATTGAATTCGCACTGCACCAAAATGGTGCACCTTACCAATTTCGCCCGCCACCGAGTTTTCGGTGAAGCCAAAGGCGGTGCCGGTGAAGAGGGGGCCATCCTTGATCTGCAGGTAAGACACCTCCATTGTTGTCCTACCGATTAGCAGGTGAAAGTGATTGCTGGCAGCAGTTGATAATTAAAACGTGAAACCGTTGATGATGGTGATCAGGGGGTAGCGTGTTCTGGCTGAAGCACGTGGTGGTTGTGCTGATTGTGTTGGCAGTGGTAGAAGTGCACTACCTCGTCAGCCGTCAGTCAGTGATCGACTGAGTTCGAATGCTGCCGCTGCAGCGCGCTAAATGTGTGTGCTTGCGCTTGCTGATACTCGTCGTCGACCGCAGATCGTTCAGACAGCAGTAACAGACCTCCGTGGAGTTGTACAGTGAAAGTGGTGGCGGCAGACAGTGAGACAGTGAGACAGTGGCAGTAGCAAGTGGTTGTGAGAGAGAGAGAGAGAGAGAGAGAGAGAGAGAGAGAAAGAGAGA